GGGCCCGGGCAGCGCCCATCCTCATGTGCGGCGTGGCAGTGCACGACTCTTTCCACAAATGCATAATCTCCCTAAATGCATGGAGTACGAGTGCAGAGGATCAAAAGTTTTTTCTGCGACAAGCTGTGTGTTAACGGTCATTCCCTGTGGCTTAGTCGGTTAAAGCGCCGTGCTTATATTATACCAAATATACCAAAGACACGCGGAGATCCCGAGTTCAATCCTCGGCAGGGAAAACCATTTTTGGATGTTCTTGCTTTGTTTCCTTTTTGTTTGCAGAGTGTGTTTCGTTTTGTTGTCATTGGTGTTGTCATTACATGTTATTTCACACTCCCTTTTTTGCTTCTCTTTTCCTCACGCAACAATCACCCCTATAGCAATAACAACAACAGCAATAACACCACAGACATCATGGCGGATTGCGGAAACCCTTTATTGCTGTCATGGCTCCAAGAATGGATGGAGACCGCTCAATTGCATCACAACAAGTCAGTCTACACCCTGCGTAAGGTACACACCATCGGCTGACCCAGGCAGGTACAAAATAATGGAGGATGATCCTCATTCATCGCTTTTTTTTGATGTTGTGCAAGCTGATAGGCGTGTGAATCCATGGCCAGATATCCTACACCATTCCACCACCCTCGTGAGGCTTTAGTTCTGCAAGGAATTGGCGAAGGACTTGTCAAGAGGCTTGAGGATAGGCTCGCTCGGCATTGTAAAGAAATTGGCGAGCCAATGCCAGGTAGGTGGCATATCTTGGAGCTTAATCCCTGTTTTTTATCAGGGCACATCGAGCGCTCTATTAACAAACTGTGGTTGTTGTTGTTGTTACTAGTGTTTGGCAAAAAGGGGCGCAAGCAGGCAGGAGCGGTTCCTCTAACCCCTGTTCCTCCACCCGAGGAGCCAAAGCCCAAGAAACCCCGCAAGGCGAGCACAAAGCAATACGTTCCAAGATATCGATCAGGATCCTTCGCCATCCTTCTCGCCTTGTATCAGATGTACGTTCAGCAGGGTAGCCGACACCTTGACAAGGAGAAGATCATCGAGGTCGGTCAACAGTATTCAGAGCACTCACTGTCACATGCGGAGCATGGGTCCCTGTATTCGGCATGGAAGTCGATGCAAACTCTGATAGACAAAAGCCTGGTGTATCAGAACGGGAAGAACTTTTACTTGTCAGGAGAAGGCAGGGATATGGCGGAGCATTTGAAGGACGTCGCCATTCTTCAAGACCCGTCAAAGGCAAAGTTTTTCGAAGGGTCAACCAGAGTAGAAGAAACTGTGGAGAATAGTCTCAACAATCGACGCCGAGCGCCCTCCTACTCCCCTGAACCCCCACGACCCACTAAACAACGTCGCCCAACACCTGGGATCAAAGCGACCCCGAAACATCATGCCCCTTCCACCTACGATAATCACGATATGGGCGACATCAACGGGCAACATGACGACTCTGATGACGACTGGGGAGCAACAGCCGCAGTGCCTTCGGCGTCAACATCCCATGGCTTCTCTCTTTCGTCTCCGCTAGCAGATTCCAATTTTTTGTCTCGACCAGAAAACTCTTCGTCGTCGTCTCGACCAGCTGGCTCCAGTCACCAACCGCTCGACATTGATAGCGATTGGGACGACAATGGTTACGATGACAATTCTGTAGATGACTACTCGTCTTCACAAGATGGCTGGTTGAATAGTTATGGACCCTCGACTTCAACGTCTCTTGGAACAATGGCGAATGTTCCACCACTCCTGCCGGACTTGAGCAAAGTGCCCATGTCTATGCTTCTGGACTATGCGGAAGCACAGAGTAGAGGCACAGTATCCGATTTTCTCAACAAAGGAAGCACGTCGACCAGCCTCAGAGGACATGCAAAGCCTAGCACTCCAAGAAACATCCCTGATTCATTTTCGCATTTGAAAACCAACATATTTTCGACGGCGACCGGCAACGAAAGAGTGGCTCGAGATGTTTCTGAGCTCGCCAAGTTCCAACCGATCTATCTCGGACCAGGATCGTTCGATATTGAGTTGGTTCTGGATGTTCGCGAGGTACGAGTTCAGGGGGACCGAGAGTATATCCCCAAGAAACTGAAGGACCAGGGAGTTGATGTTACTACGCGCGCATTGGACATTGGCGATGTTATCTGGACTGCTCGCCCCAAGATTCCCAATCCTCTCTTCCCAAAAGGAGTTGTCTTGGATCACATTGTGGAGCGCAAGCGAATGGATGATCTGGTGTCAAGTATCAAAGACGGGCGCTTCACTGAGCAGAAAGTATGGCACTGGATCGACTTGTTTTTCATATCTGTACGGAGTGAAAGGACGTTGCTCTAACAAGTTATTATTGTCCTCTTGTTGTAATAGTTTCGTCTGTCGAGGTCTGGTATAAGCCAGGTTGTTTACCTTGTTGAGACATACAGGCCGAGCGAAACATATGATATTCCTCAGGAGGGTATTCGAACAGCAATGACAACAACCCAGGTCCATGAAGGGTTCTTCCTCAAGCGCACTGGCACCACGGATCAAACTATCGACTATCTGGTTGCCATGACCGAAGCCCTAAAGGAGAAGTATGAGGTACGACAGTATTCTTATTTTTACTCAAGTGATTGTCGCTATTGCAGCTCTTATATCATTGCAGATTGTATGCTGTTTTGTTAGGTCCTTGAAAACTTGTTTGCTTTTTTGCTGAGTCGCTAACTACAACAACTTGCATTTTCATATCAATCTTGCTCGTAGCACCAGGTGTTGTATGTTATCCCCGATGAAGTGATTGAGCGGGACAGCTATCTTGACCTTCTGGAGGAGTTGAGACGGAAGAGTCCTGGCCGAGAATACCTGACTAGCTACCAGGCGTTCGCGAAGCTAAACAGCAAGTCGGAAACACTGACGGTGCGCGACAGCTTTGTCAAAATGTTGATGGTGATTCGAGGACTGAGCGCCGAAAAGGCCATCGAGATTGCCAAGGTCTATGGCACCCCGCGCGCCTTCTTTTCCGCATTGGACAAGCCTGGATCGGATGCACCGAGGGAGGAGCGACAGGAAGTTATCACCAAGTCCGTGTCGAATCTCGGCCGCAAGAAAATCGGACCGGCATTGGCGAACAAGATCGCAGACCTGTGGTACAGCGAGACATACGAGAAGGACCCTAGCATCCAGCTACATACGTATGGCTCGTAAGAAGAAAATAAACGTGTATATTCCTATTGCAACCCTTGTTGATGGCCTCAGCGCATATTTTTAGAGGACAACAGACGCGTGTGAACAAGCAGTGCTGGAGTCAATGCGCCTACTCTTTCTCTCTCTCTCTCCCCCTCCCTCTCCCCCCCTTTTCCCTTCTCTTCTCTTCACTCCACTTTACATCATTCTCTCTCATTATTTCCCACTCACTCTCACAACAGTTGCGCGCATGGTCCATTCCCTGTCTACAGCGCATTCGTTTTAACCTCGCCTTATTCTCACTCATTCTCTTACCCCGCACAGGAGGACACTCCCAATGCCGAAGCCAAGCACGTTTAATGCCTCCCACGGCACGAGCCATACCGCGGCCATGCTGAACCAGGGCAATCTCGCGCAGCATACTCAGCACCACCAAGAACTGGACGAGAGCCGCGACTTTGTTCGAGAGTTCCTCGACACGCTTGACCCGTTCTCTGCTCCCCTGTCGGACCCTGGCCTGGAGCCAGTCGAACTGATATCCGATATCGTGATGAGGAGCCCCAGTACAGACTCAAAACCTCGTACCCAAGGCTCACCGCAACAACAAAAGCAACAACAACAACAGCAACAGCACCTCAATATCCGCCCTGCACAACAGGCGTTACAACACCAGCAACAGAGTCAACAACAGAATCTGCCACACAAACAGAACAAGCGCCAGCTGGTGCCACATGGCCAGCTGCAATACCAACCAGACAGCAATGTAAGCAAGTCCAAGCGGAAGAAGGTCGTCAAGGGGCAGCAAGAACCACAGACACGGACGATGGAGCCGCAACTGATAATTCAGGACACAAGAAACCATCCGGTCGATGGAACGCGACGCAAGGAAGGAAGCGGGGCAGTAATGAAGGATGACACACGGCAGGGCAAGAAACGCAAGCAGGAAGTCGACGATGTCGAACAGGGTGTGCAGGACCTCGAAATCCTTGACCCACACATCGACCACCCATCTTCTCGGGAAAAACGCAAACGTCAGACAGAAGTAGCTGTGACAAAACCCAAAGTACCAACCGCCGCCAAAGGCAAACAAGGTACACTCTTTTATGACCAAAGTAACTGCATTATATCGTTACTGCGTTCTGTTGACTGTGGATACATGATCTCACTGACATGGATGAAGGCGCCAATGCTCGTATCAATTCTAGCCAAGAGCCGTCTCGTCCAAGACGATCGGCGCGCATCAAACCAGCAGGACGAGGACAGACGTAAAGACCCAGGAAGGAGGGCGCCATTGAATGACCTTGCAGACAATCAAAGCGATGATGGCCATGACCATCGCAATCGCCGCAATCAACGCCGACATCGACGTCATCACTTACTCCCAGCACATCGACAAAAATCTGAAGCCGCGGTCAACGACAAGCCGGGGAAGACAGATAGTAATAAACCTCGCAAGATCCTTACCCAGAGCTCACTCATCATGAACGTAAGATCCAGTCAAGCAGACTTTTGTTCTTTTGTTGCTCTCATGAGTTGTAATATGACAGGGTGTGCTCGATATCTGTCACTGAATGGGCTTGTAAGATCCTAACCAAGCTATCCACCATTGACCTTCTATAATTTCATGTAGCAATTCGTCTCTCCGAATGTGTCCAGAGAAAGGATCACGGTACGGTTTGGCTTTTTATGCGTCATCCATCACAGGCAACAATGTTGTAACACCTGAGTCTGCTGGTACTAGCACGAGTGATTTTGTTTGCTTTCAAATTCAATAGATTCCAGGGAAGTTAAGCCATCTGGGGATCTTCAAGAAAGGCAAAGCCTCGAAAAAGACGACTGTGCAACGAGGTACAAAGTTGATGTAAAGGTCAAGATAAAATAGCTGGGCTGAAAAGAATGATACCCTGACATCAACGTTATCACTAATAGATGCAGGAAATGAGTTTTCAAAGGACGCGTCCCCCAATCAGCGGACCGACTCCAGAGGACCTCACGTTCGTGGACGCCGTCAAGAACAGGTCGTTACGTCTGCGTACTTTACTGACGCGAAACAGGACCAGGATGGTCATGCTGC